AGACAAAAGTTCTTAAAGTGTATCAGGGCAGTGTCTCCGTTAGGATTCTGTTGGCTGTGTGATAGAAAACTCTAACCCAGACTTGAAGAGTCCTGGCTGGTAGGGCAGCCCCATTATCATCAGAGACCTCAACTTCCCCCCCCCCCCCCAAATTACAACTTTACCGTTCACATTTTCATGGTTCTTCATCATGGTCCCAAGATGGCTGCTTAAGCTCTATGCATCCTGTCAGCATTCGAATCAGCTAGGAGAAAGAAGGGCCAAAGGAAAGAACACATCCTCCCGTTAAGGTTGCTTTGAGAGAGTTGCAAACTACATGCTTAGTTATATAGTAATCTCCAGCTACCTGGAAATGTAAGCTCTTCTGTTAAAAGCAGAAGTCTATTCTCCAGTGTTGAAAAACCTGATATTAGAAGACTATTGGCATTTTCTACCATAATGAAAAACAGGGAAAGGTCAAGGATGATTCCACTGAGCCAGACTGGGCTGGCTGTGGGCTCTCTGTGTCACTCACCAAGAAAAGAAAGAAAAAATCGAGCTACTATTAATTTAGCACTTCCTGCTTGTTAGGCCTTGTACTAAGTGCTTGCTTTACCCCCATTTTGAAGGTGAGGAAAACTGAGTCTTGGTGAAGTATCTTGAACTGCTAAATATCTTTCTGCCCCAATATCTGCTAATTGGGGCAGAAAGAGGATTAGAGCAGAGGTTTGCTGGTTTATAAAGCACCTGTTGCTTAACTGCTGCCCTGGTCTGCCACCCAAATGAGTTCCAAGCCATCTGTGGACCAGCATTGATGAAATGGGGCCTGATTGGACTAGCCCAGTGGTCGGCAAACTCATTAATCAACAGAGCCAAATATCAACAGTACAACGATTGAAATTTCTTTTGAGAGCCAAATTTTTTAAACTTAAACTTCTTCTAACGCCATTTCTTTAAAATAGACTTGCCCAGGCCATGGTATTTTGTGGAAGAGCCACAGTCAAGGGGCCAAAGAGCTGCATGTGGATTGCTAGCCGCAGTTTGCCGACCACGGGACTAGACTGTTTGTTGGTGGTGATCGCTCTAGTAAGAACTCTACTGGAGCTAATGGTTTTGGAATGAACCAATGGCCTTGCTTGTACACAGAAGTCTCTGAGAGAAAAAGGATCAATTTCTGCTTGTCACCAAGTCAACATCACCTGGGGGTTAGCAGAGCTTCTCACTCTCCGGTCTCTAGTGATTTTCCACAGCCCAGGGAGGAAAGTCATCATGTTTTCCCCTACACTTCAGCAGAGGAATTGGAGGGCTGGCTGTTTACTCACACTCCACACAGCCCATCAAGAGGCAGAGCCTGGGTGAGAGGGTGAGCGCGCCCTCCTTCCATCACCTGATTCACTATGGGCACAACGCTATAAAGAAACCCCCTACTGGCTCCCACCTTTCTTCTCAAAATGTCCTGTCCAAAGTGCCGCCTCTAGTTGTCATTTCTCTCCTCAGAGCACATCCTCTTGCCAACCAGCACCACCGCTGAAGGTTTGGCCTTGACCCCAGAAGCGCACCTCAGAACCCAATGGGGTCCAGACAGCTGAGTGGAGTGTGGCCTCCTGGTGGCATGAGATGAAATGAGGATCAGTGCCCACAGATACCTCCCTCACTGTGCCAGAGTGCCATATCGTTAGTTACCTCACTGAGTAGGGTCTGTACAGGGATTGGGTGAGAGGGAGAGAGACTAAAAATGACTTAATCGGTTGTTGACCCGGGCAGGCCCTGAGCTCAGGATTCCTATGTTTGGTTTAATGTTCTGCTGTCTCTGTCTTAAAATTCTTAATAGTATTTTAATTTTTCATTTGCACTGGGCCCTGCATATTACTCAGCTGGTCCTGATGTGGCCACTCTTATTGTCCTCTTGGCTGCCTTCCCTGTGGGGCCCGTTTTTCCAGGCTCGGTGCTGGGGTCACATGTTCCCTCAAGCTTCCTCCTCCTCCCCTGACATCCCCTCAGCGTTTCTCAGGAGGGGTAGCCTCAAATGCCCTGTGATGCAGTGCGGGTACTGCAGTTGCCTTTCCAGGAATCTTCCTCATAATCCCGTGGCTTAGGACAAAAGTGGATTTGCTTTGTCCTGAAACAGATCACTGAGCTGAAAGGAAACTTTCACCAGTAAATATCTGTTGGGTGAATAAATTCTGAACTCAGGTATTTCAGATTGTCCTGCTGCTCATTCTCTATTTATTCACTTAACAGCTATTTATTGAGCTTTTACTTTTATGCAAAAATAACATGTCCAAGCTATAAAGGAGAAAACATGATAAAGATCAGATTTATGCCCTGCCCAGTTTTGCTCAGTTGTTAGAACACCAGCTCATGGACCTAAGGGTCATGGGTTTAATTAATTTCCTGTCAAGGGCACATGCCTTGGTTGCAGGTTTGATCCCTGCCCTGGTCGGAGAGTGTGTGGAAGGCAACCAATTGATGTGTTTCTCTCACCTCTCTCCCTCTCTTTCTCTCTCTCCCTATAACGTCAATAGAAAAAATATCTGCAGGTGAGGATTAAAAAAAAAAAAAAAAAAAAAAAAAAAAGCCGAGCTCATGGTGATAGGTGAAGAAGATAAACTTATACTGTATTAATTTTTCCAACATTTTATTATGAAAATTATCAATAAAATAGAAAAATTGGAAGCATTATACAGTGAACACCCATATACCCACTACCCAGGTTATAAATTAATATTTTGCTCTTTTTGCTTAACATATCTGTTTGTTCACCCATCCTTTTAACTAGTTATCCATCCAACTTATTCTTTGATTCATCTCAAAGTTGCAGATTTAGTAGATTTCACCCCAAACCAAACACTTAATACTAATTTTTAGTTCTGTGATCTCAATTCAATCATAACACCTTTTCTTTTTTAAGCAAAAAAAAGGGGGAAAATATATATTTTTATATAGAAACAAATCATTTTCTATTAAATGTAATTATGGAATGATAGTTTATGCACAATGCAAAACAAAACAAAACACACTGATTCCCCTCTGTGTGCAATGACTCAAAGAGAAATGAGAAAGAGATAAATTTCCTCCAGGCAATGAGGGAAAGAGAGAAATGAGTCACTTCAGTAGGAGGGGATGCTGTGTTGGGAATGCAAAGTTATTTTCATCCACCAGATATTTACTGGTGAGAGTTTCCTTTCGGCTCAGTGATCTGTTTTTGGCAGTGTTTTAGGAAGCTTCCTGCTTTTTTCCGATCAAAACAATAAAACCCTTAGATGACACCGCCTTCGCCTTCGTTCCTCCTTCCTGGGGAGACTGTGAACAATTCCAAGGGGTTTTGACATGGTCAGAGCTGAAGCTGAAGCTCCAATATGTCGGTTGAGTATTGCATGTAGGAGTGGAGAAAGATACAGGCTGAAGCTGTAGATTTGGGAGCTGTCCCCAAAGAGGTGATGGCTGGGGTGAATGGGGTGGGGGTGAGTGGATAAGGCTTTTGAGGTTGATAGCATAGAGTCACAGGAGCAGAGGGCAGGACTGGGTCACAGGGGGAGAAGGTGATGCTGTTGAAGGGGTCAGAGGAGGCACAGTCAGGAAATAACATGGAAAACTACCTAAAGCGAGACTCTAAAAGGGAGACCTACCCCAGCCTTCTACATTTGACCAATGAGAAAAAGTAGGCTGAGACATCACTCAAGAAAATTAGCAACAGAGCTGGAGCAAAAATCAGTGCCACCCAAATGGTACTTTTTCAACAAAGTAACTCAATGGGTTCCTTCCACCAGGACCAAATGCCTTGGGGTCATGGTTTTAATCTTTAAAAAATATGGATTTGGCCTTATATGCAGGGATTTATCTAGTTTCACCTTAATAAAAAACTAGGTTTTCCCCCCCCCTAAATTATTGAGAGATTTATGATTTCTGTTAATGTTTCTCAGTTTTCTTTAAACTCATATCACTTTTTGATGAATATAAAAATCTGGAAGTTTTAATACCTACTTCTGCTTCCCACCCCGACTGAGGATCACCAATAACAACATACAGCCTGTTCTCAGCATAAACTAGCAATGCATGCATAGTTTTATGCGATAAAATATAAAAGTAAAATAATCAGAAATATGCTTTCTCAAATAATAACCCTCTCCCAATTTGAGAACCATTCATCCAAGGAGGTGGGCTCAATTTATTTCATGCTGCGTATACCCTTGCAATCTCTCCCCTATTGATTAAGGATGCTTTTAGTTGCCAGTAAAAACTCCCATAATAGTTAATTAAGCAAAGCCATTTAATTATTTCCCATGATAACCAGTGTGGAGGAAGAAGATTCAAGTTCTGTTCAACAGTGACAGTAGGACTTTCTGGGTTGGCGTCTCAGTGGTTTTCTTAGCATTTCCCCGGTGGCCCCAAGATGATCTCAGTAGCCCCAAGCATCACTTCCTGTTAGGAAAAAGGTAGCAAGTGGGAAACAACGATTTTCCTTGTTTTGCTCATTTTTCTGAGAGGAAGCACTTTCCAGAACCCCACCTTTGTCCAGAGACTTTCCCATCTACTTCCTTGGTCACAGTTGTCTCATGCCAACCCCTAGACCAGCCCCTGGGAATGAGGAACTAGAGCACGATATTCAGCTTGGGTTAATCATAATGCAGCCCACCTTCCCAGAACACATGCCACATGGGATTGATACAAACTTCCCCTTGTTTTTGCCCAACTCCCTCACTAGACTATAAGCAGCTTGAGGGCAGAGATTTTTGTTTTGTTCACTGCTATATGCCAGGACCAATGCCAGCTATTCAATAAATTGTCATTAAATGAAGGAAGGAATAACTAAGGAAGGAGGGGTATAGGTTTTAGGTAACCAGCAGTGTCTGCTGCCCCCGACCACATACAATCCCAGTTTGATCAATGTGATGAATGGTACTAACTGACTGTTGATCACCAAAAATCTAACCTTAGCTTTGTGTCTTTCCTCCCAGGGAGTGAGCCATAGCTGGAGGTTGCTCTTTTGCCAATGACTCTCCAGCATCTTAGAAGATAAGATGTGTGAAGGGAACAAGACCACCATGGCCAACCACCAACTGATGCCCCTAGTGGTAGTCCTGAGCACCATCTCCTTGGTCACAGTGGGGCTCAACCTGCTGGTCCTGTGTGCTGTGCGGAGCGAGCGGAAGCTACACACTGTGGGGAACCTGTACATCATTAGCCTCTCAGTGGCGGACCTGATTGTAGGAGCTGTTGTCATGCCAATGAACATCATCTACCTCTTCAGGTCCACGTGGTCTCTGGGCCAGCCTCTCTGCCTCTTTTGGCTTTCCATGGACTATGTGGCCAGCACAGCGTCCATTTTCAGCGTCTTCATCTTGTGCATTGATCGCTACCGCTCTGTCCAGCAGCCCCTCAGATACCTGAGGTATCGCACCAAGACCCGAGCATTGGCCACTATCTTGGGAGCCTGGTTTCTCTCCTTCCTCTGGATTATTCCCATTCTGGGCTGGCCTTACTCAGGGCCCCAGAAAGACAAATGTGAGACAGGCTTCTATGATGTCACCTGGTTCAAGGTCATGACTGCTATCATCAACTTCTACCTGCCTACCTTGCTCATGCTCTGGTTCTATGCCAAAATCTACAAGGCTGTACAGCAGCACTGTAAGCACCGGGAGCTCATGAATGGATCCCTCCCTTCCTTCTCTGAAATTAAGCACAAGCCAGAGAACCCCAAGATAGCAGCCATGAAACCAAAGAAGAAGTCTCTCTGGGAGGTTCTGAAAAGGAAACAGAAAGTTGCTGGTGGTGGCCCTGTCTTGAAGTCCCAAGATCTAAATGAGAAGAAATCCTCAAGTGTCTGCAGCCAAGAGGAGGATGAACAAGTGGACAAACGTCACTGCTTCCCGCTTAATATTGTGCAAACACAGACAGAGGAAGAGGGGAGTGGCAGGGACTACACGGCCATCAACCAGAGCCAGAGCCAGCTTGAGATAGATGAGCAGAGCCTGACCATGCATGGGGCCAGTGAGGTGTCAGAGGACCAGACCCTAGGTGATAGCCAGTCCTTCTCTCTAGCAGACTCAGACGTCCCCACAGAATCAGCATCAGGGAAAGGCAAACCGCCAAGTGAGTCCAGCACACGCCTTGATTATATCAAGTTCACTTGGAAGAGGCTCCGCTCTCATTCAAGGCAGTATATGTCTGGGTTGCAACTGAACCGAGAACGGAAGGCTGCCAAACAATTGGGTTTTATCATGGCGGCCTTCATCCTTTGCTGGATTCCTTACTTCATCTTCTTCATGGTCATTGCCTTCTGTAAGAGCTGTTGCAACGAACATGTGCACATGTTCACCATCTGGCTGGGCTACATCAACTCCACACTGAACCCCCTCATCTACCCTTTGTGCAATGAGAACTTCAAGAAGACATTCAAGAAAATCCTGCACATTCGCTCCTAAGGGAGGCTAGAAGGGGATGCAGCAAAGTGACACTTAGGATGACCCTGAGGAAAACGGAGGGCGAAGGCCTGCGAGTTGCCAGGTACCTGGGCTTTCTGGAGTCAAACGAATAGTCTTAAGGGCCGGGATATCTGGAAAGTTCTTTCGCACCATTGGAAGAACTGCAGATGGCAGTGGTCAGCAGAGAATGTAACTTTGAGTACAAAGCAGAATATTTCCAAGAGGATGGAATCTGGACGAGTACGCCTGCTCCTCAGAGAAATGTGGGGGCCTCAGACTCTCCTTGTAATTCAAGCTTCTGGGCTTGAGTTAACTGACCGTTGAAGGGACTCGTGGGTAGAGTTCCACTGGAGAGTTGAACTCTAGAGCCTTCCTGGAATGGCTCTATATGACTGTGCACACACATGCAGATAGATGCTGTCCCTTTCCGGGGGTCACCTTGAGAGAGGCATAACAGGTATTGCACTGTGACTGCCACTTCGCAGAATACCTCTCTTCTGAGCCTCTTTTACAGCTTTTTCCAGAACTAATGTCTGAACTGCCCTAGAAATTCTGCCTCATTATTTCTCATTCACACATGTCTCAGAATTGATAGGAAATGAGGCAGCTCGCACACCCATCATTTTCAACCCCAAATTCCTTTTACTATTTTTTAAAAAGATGATAAAAGCTGCCTACAAAAGAAAGAGAAAAATAAAATATTAATGGTTTCACATTAAAAAAAAATTTTTTTTTAAATGGAATAAGAGAAGAAAGCCGTATTTCTTGAGTGTTATGCCAGGTTTATCTAACTAAATCCCCATCACACCCCACAACAGGAGGGTGGTGTAATGAGTGAAGCAAAGTGAGATGCAGTATGGTGAAATAAGTTGCCCAAGATCACAGAACTAGTTATTTGAGAGAGCTAGAATGAAACCCTGTGGGGTTTCAGCTCATCATAAACATTTTCTCCCCAAAGCAAAAATTTCTCTCTCCCTCTTTCCCTCCCTCCCTCTCTCTCTCTCTCTCTCTCTCTCTCTCTCTCTCTCACACACACACACACACACACACACACACACATACACACACACACACACACACACACACAGTTCCTGAGAATGGTAGGAATTCTCAGCAATTCTCAAAAGAATATGTTGTGAGCAGGAACAGCCAACATAAAATGTGTCTGTGGCCATTGAAGGTGATACTTTGAAGGGACAGTGTGCTATTTGTGAGGTGTGCTGTGTTTGTCCCAAAGTGGTCATGTTCTTTTAGAGTCATGTCTCTCAAATAAAAACTAGCAAAGGCATGGTAACATACAGTTTTACTTGATGTTTATGTTGCAATCTGGTGGTGACTTATGTTTTAAAATGTGATGCTAAACTGTAATCTGCGTAGCAAATGGAGTGCCTGTACAAGCTGGCATTTTGTGTCTTGTATTCTTGTTTGCATGATCTGTTAAAATGAGAGGTGTTGTTGTTGTTTTTTTTTACTTACTTAAAATATGATATTTAAAACTATACTGTTACAAGTTTGACTTATTTAATTCCACCATTCTGAGTCTCTCAGATGGAGAAGATGTATTGAAACAACTGCCTAAGGTTACAAGGTTTCTGATCACATTTGCAAAAGTCTTTAGAAAAGGATTTGCTTTTCAAAACTAACTTCACTCTCATTCTGCTTTGAATCCCCATAAGTTCTTCTTGCTCAAAACTGTGGGAGCCAAGGAGATTTTTATCCTGGTGTTAGAAGCTGCAGCTGGTCTATTTCCAAGTCAGCAGCCGTTTCTCAGAAGATCTGCGCACCCTTCATTGGGATCCCTTAGGACCAAGGACCACCTAAAGAGATCACTCCATACAGACAAATGACTAAATGCCCATTATTCATGTTGATAAACAGTTAAGGCAACTAGTGAAGCAAAATGTTATGAGCTCTGACTTTGGGTCAAAAGGTCCTGGATTTGAGTTTGACAAGAACAAGAAATGATCAGTATAAATTGTCAGAGCATAAAGAACAAGATCCATGCATTATTGTATACAGTTGTTTTTATAACGCTTGCAATGTGGCTGGTACACAGAGGGTACCCATATGTAGTTTTCAAATATACTGAGAATATACTATGTGCTTTGTGCTTTACCACCATTATATAATTTAATCTTTATAGCAGTCTGATGAAGGAGATTTCCATGTTTTTACAAATAGGTAAATGGAAGTACAGAGAGATTAAGGGACAGCTGTAAGATCTGATTCTGGATTGTGCTCCCTTTCCATAGTACCAACCTTCAATTCCTACTCCTATCTGAATGATTGGATTTTGAATTAAAGAAAAGACTAAATTCATATGAGATAACTCCACCTCAGTACATTCAGCAACGAATCAGTGCCCCATGGCTTGCACAAACTCTAGTTGAAACAGGCTTTCTACCACCCTAAATCCTATATATAATAAAGAGGTAATATGCAAATTGACCATCATTCCAACACACAAGATGGCTGCCCCCATGTGGACACAAGATGGCCACCAGAAGATGGCTGGCAAGGGAGGGCAGTTGGGGGCGACCAGGCCTACAGGGGTGGGCAGTTGGGGAAACCCAGGCCTGCAGGAGAGGGCAGTTGGGGCAAACCAGACCTGCAAGGGAGGGCAGTTGGGTGGGACCAGGCCTACAGGAGAGGGCAGTTTGGCTCAGTGGTTGAGCGTTGATCCATGAACAAAGAGGTAATTGTTTTGATTCCTGGTCAGGGTATATGCCCAGGTTGCAGACTTGATCTCTAGTGGAAGCTGTGCAGCCAATCGATGATGTTTCTCTCATTGATGTTTCTATCTCTCTATCCCACTCCTTTTCTAAAAATCAATAAAAACATATTTTAAAAAAGCAAAAAACAAAAATACAACCCATAGCCCTAACCGGTTTGGCTCAGTGGATAGAGTGTCGACCTGCGGACTGAAGAGTCCCGGGTTCAATTCCAGTCAAGGGCATGTACCTTTGCTGTGGGCACATCCCCAGTGGGAGGTGTGCAGGAGGTGGCTGATCGATGTTTCTAACTATCTCTCTCCCTTCCTCTCTGTAAAAAAATCAATAAATATATATTTAAAAAACATCACAGAAAAAAAAAACAGATAGCATAGTATTAATAAACTCAAGAAAAATCTACCTTCAAGCACATATCTTCATTAATGTAGTCGTAATTTAAATTTATTCAAAGGAAGAATAAAACATCCTTAGCTTTTGATAAAAATAAAATGCCTTTAAATGCTTCTTTGAGGACACATACAAGTACTTTTGAACACTTCTTGAGCCAGGCATTAGGAGACAATGGAGAACAAGGCAGACATGATTTCAACCATGTGGAGTTACTTTAGGGTTGCAAGTGACAGAAATCAGCTTTGTGAATGCTGCTGAGTTGTTTTGTGATATTCAGGAATGTTTTGGATGACCTTGCCTCAGAAAGGTTTGAGCCAAGTCAGCCACAGGAACCTCAACAGCAGAAGAAGTTCCCTCTAAAATATTGCCATTGACCTATATGATTTATTCTTATTCCTACAGTTTATGAGAGTCAGTAAAAAAAAAAATCCAAACTCAGGGTAAAGAATTGTCCCATGTCCACCTCAGCTGCAATCAACTCTGCAGAGAGGTGGGTGGGGGTGGGAGTAAGTGGTACATGTGGTACAAACATGGCTGGAGGACCAGCAGTTCCCAGAGGAGAGGGGAAAATTATGAGTTGGGCAGAAACTCCAAAGGGTATTAATTACAAGGATCTCAAAGTCCAGCTGGAGAAACAAGCTTATAAAGAACTAACTTTAACCTACCCTCATATAAGCTTAATAGAGAGAAGCCTAGAGGTGGTGGGTGTCAGACACATAGGAGATGACATCCCTACTGTGGTTTTTATTATTTATTTATTACACTAAACATACACAGTAAAATGCACCCATTTAAAATGTAGAATTTTGATAAATACATACACTCACACCATCCCCATTTCAATCAAGATAGAACATTTCTAGAAAATTCTCATCCCTCTTTGCAGACAATGCCTCCCTTATGCCCCAGGCAATCACTGATCTGACTTCTATCACTATAGATTAGTTTTGCCGATTCTATAATTTTACCTAAGTGGAATCATATAATATGTTCTCTTTTTCAGCCAACATTTTGTCTAAGATTCATCCATGTTTCAAGTGGATTTTGATGTTGGAGAAAGGGTTAGACCATAAGAGGAAATGTGAGGATATTGCAGATGGAGAGATGAATTAGCAGGGTGTGCTTAAAACACCAGAATTAATTTCGTGTGACCCAAGCATGCTGTCTGAGGGGCAGTGGCAGGGAGGAATCTGGTTAGTGAAAAACAGTTGACAATGTTGAAGTTTACTTGAGTGTCCTGCTCTTAAAAAACAGCAATGGTTAAGAAATCCTTTCCAACCCAATACACACACACACACACACACACACACACACACACACACACACACTTTTGTGCTTCTGAAATGGTTTACTGCAAAGAAACATCAATTCTCATAACTTAAATAAGTTTATGGATATCTCCTTGTTTTCTGCGGCAAGGACAGACACAGGCTTGAATTTATATTCTTTGCCTTATAAGTAATTAGCTGAACTACATGTCTTCACTGATCAAACAAAAAAGTGCCTAGTAATAACCAACTTTAGTTAAGCTCCCCAGACTCCTTAACGTTGATTCACTCACAGGCTGAAACTGCATACAACCCCTCCTGAGAACTGGCTGGCCTCAAGGTAAAAACAGTCTGATTTACTACTATTAGATCAAACCACCCTTTCTTCCCATTTTCCACACCCAGTTTCTTTTAGTCTTGTTCACTCTTCCCTACTGAAGAAATCTTTTTTTGCCTAACTCTTGAGACATTTGCAGATCTTTTGGTCAGAGTGATTTCCTATTGCAATATTTCCCTCCCTTGTTGCAATAGTCTCTTCCCTCTCCTCCCTCATTCTTTATAAGAATCCTTTTGGATAAAGTATCTCCTTACTAAGTCAAACAGGCTTCGA